GCGCCCATACCAGACCGGGACCAGCAACGGGATCGCAACCCTCGGTGTTGTGCCCACACCTTGCTCAGCCAGTGAGCAGCCGGTCTGTATGTGGGATCCGAACCCTAGGCGGGAGCACCACTGCGCTCCCAAGCGGCGCACTGTAGCAGTGCGCCACCAGGCCGGCCCAAGTTACTCTTGTTTTAATAGTGTTGAATATTATATGTTCTATACAAATGTTACTTGTTACTAATAACCACAAGGAAAAACTGATCTCATAGGGCTGGCCCATGGCTCACTTGGTTGAATGTGGTGCTGATACCACCAAGGCCACGGGTTGGGATCCCTATATAGGGATGGCCGGTTAGCTCACTTGGGAGAGCGAGGTGCTGATAACACCAAGTCAAGGGTTAAGATCCCCTTACCGGTCATCTTTTGTTAAAAAAAACCCAAAAGAACAAAAAAACCTGACTTCCCATTCATTAATCACATAACAATATTATTGTTAAAGTGTAACAATGTAATATAGTCAATATCACTAATATATTTATGTACTAACAGACACTTTCATCATATAAAATTCAGAAAAAAAACATAACCGGTTAATTTCAAGGGAGAACTGACATCACATTATCAAGTGTTCTGATCTTTGAACATGGTACCTTTCCAGTATCAGGCATTTTATATGTCCTTTAGTAAAGTTTTATAGTTTTCTCCATAAAGGTCTAATATATTTCTCATTAGACTTCTTCAGAGGTACTTTATAGATTTTGTTGCTGATATGTATAAGACTTTTAAAAAATGTTATATTTTCGAATGATTGTTACTGGTAGATATAAAAGTTACTGATTTTTAACAAGATAGCCTTCTATCTAGTCATCTTGTTAAACTCTATTAATAGTCATAATATTCAGTAGGTTGATTATTTTGTGTTTTCTAGTTAGAAAATCTTATCACCTGCAAATAATACTCCCTTCTCTCTTGAGCCATATCCTTGTTTTATTGCAGTAGCTGGGAACTCTAGAAAATGCTAAATAATTTTGCATATCTCTTAAGGGGATCATTATTTATCAAGTCTGAGCTTTCTCAAAAGGATTAATTTCTGCTATTTTATTTTGTGTTTTCTATTTATCCTACATGTTCCTGACTTTCTAACTCCCTTTGCTGACTTATGGAAGGATTTTTCTTATTATTTCTAGTCATTT